TTCACTGAAGGAACTGGCAAAAAAACAAGGCTCTGGGAATTGAGAGAATACCCATTGAGATGTTTCAACAAGTGGATGTTGCAATAGAGGCACTCACTGAGCTATGCCAAGAAATTTGGAAGACAGCCACCTGGCCAACTGACTGGAGGAGATCCACACCTGTACCCATTCCAAAGAAAAGTGATCCCCCAGAATGTGAAAATTATCAAACAATATCACTAATACCACATGCAAGTAAAATCTTAATGAAGATAATTCAACAATGGTTGCAGCAGTATATGACAGAGAGCTTCCAGAAACACAAGCTGGATTCAGAAGAGGATGTGAAATGAGGGACATCATTGCTGATGTCAGATGGATCTTAGCTGAAAGTAAAGAATCCCAGAAGGATGTTTACTTGTGTTTTACTGACTATTCAAAAGCATTCAGTTGTGTGGATCCTAACAAATTATGGATAACATCGAGAAGAATGGGAATTCCAGAACACTTCATCGTACTCATGAGGAACCTGTATATAGATCAGGAAGCTGTCATTTGAACAGAACAAGGGGATAATGCATGGTTCAAAATCAAGAAGGGAGTGTGTCAGGGTTGCATCCTTTCACCATACTTATTCAACTTGTATGCTGAGCAATTAATTTGAGAAGCTGAATTATATAAACAAGAACTTAGCATCAGGATAAAAGGAAGACTCATTACCAACCTGTGATACGCAGATGACACAACTTTGCCTGCTGAAAGTGAGGACGACCTGAAGCACTTACTGATGAAGATTAAAGACTACAATTTGCAGAATGGGTTACACCTCAATATAAAGAAAACAAAATCCTCACAACTGGTCCAATAAACAGCTTCATTATAAATGGAGAAAAGATGGAAGTTTTCTAGGGCTTCATATTACTTGGTTCTACAATCAACACTCATGGAAGTAGCAGTCAAGACATCAGATGATATATTGCATTGGGAAAATCTGCTGCAAAAGACCTGTTTTGAAACTGAGTGGAGTCAAAGTTCAGCCTGCATCCCTGGTTGAAGACAGATAAGTAAACATGATAACTCAGTTCCTTAAGATCTGAATAGGATGAAAGCTCAACTATCCCCCCCCATCCTGATTAAGACAGATAGGACCTTGGTTGAAGACAAATAAATAAACATAAGAACTCAGTTCCTTAAGAACGGAATGTAGTGAAAGGTCAATTTACAGTCTTTCTGTGCTATCCTCCTAGAAACAGGTGATAAGTACATCAATGTGACTCAAAAGACAACTTGAAAATTAACCTTGGCCTTTGGACAAACAGGAACAAAGTTGTTTGGAACTGACATTCTCCCCTCTGCCTAAGCCCTGATCAGCTGATGACAGGAAGCTGGTGTGACTCATCCGGTGTGCAAGCACACTGCATTAAAAAATGACTGCCCCTTTAAACTGAGGTGAAGGAAGTTTCAGCCAATCCTCAGCTAATTCATGCCAAGTACCTGATGTTTTTAGGAATATGCATAACCCCCTCTCCTGAAACTTGCAAAAACTGTAACCCAACCACCATTCAAGGAGTCAGATTTGGGTACTGGCCCCTGTCTCCTTGTATTGGCGCTATGCAATAAATAATTTTCTCTCCTCTTAATCACTCACTGTGTAAACTGTTTTGGCCTGACCATGCACCAGGCAGGGACCCATGTTTGGTCCTACTTTAATTTGGCACCCCAGGTGGGACCAAGGGTTCCTGACCCTCTGCCCAGAGCATGAGGACCCTC